TCCGCGCAAAAACCTCGACCAACGGCCCCCTCCATGCCCCCCCCAAGCCCACGCATCTCCCCTCCTTGGAGCCTCCATCTTGAAACCACCCCCCCACCCCCCACCCCGCGAATTCTCGCCCAAACTCGACCAACACCCCCCTACATGCCCCCCTCCATGCCCCGGCATCCGCACCCCTTGGAGGCTCTATTTTTGGGACCCCCCACCCCGAGAATTCTCGCCCAAACTCGACCAACGCCCCCCTCCAAGTCCCCCTCCATGCCCCGGCATCCCCACCCCTTGGAGCCTCTGTTTTGGGGCCCCCCCACCCTGCGAATTCTCCCCAAACTCGACCAACACCCCCCCTCCATGCCCACCTCCATGCCCCGGCATCCCCACCCCTTGGAGCCTCTGTTTTGGGAATCCCCCACCCCGCGAATTCTCGCCCAAACTCGACCAACACCCCCCTCCGCGCCCTCTCCATGCCCCGGCATCCCCATCGCTGGAAGCCTTTGTTTTTGGGGCCCACCACCCCACGATTTCTCGCCCAAACTCACCCAACACCGCCCTCCATGCCCTCCTCCATGCCCCGGCATCCCCACCTCTTGGAGCCTCTGTTTGTCGGGCCCCCCACCCCGCGAATTTTCGCCCAAACTCGACCAACACCCTGTCCATGCCCCCCTCCATGCCCCGGCATCCCCACTCCTTGGAGCCTCTGTTTTGGGAGCCCCCCACACCGCGAATTCTCGCCCAAACTCGACCAACACCCCCCTCCATGCTCCCCTCCATGCCCCGGCATTCACACCCCTTGGAGCCTCTGTTTTTGGGGCCCCCCACCCCACGAATTCTCGCCCACCCTCGACCAACACTCCCCTCCATGCACCCCTCCATGCCCTGGCATCCCCATCTCTTGGAGCCTCTGTTTGTGGGGCCCCACCCCGCGAATTCTCGCACAAACTTGACCAACACCCCCCTCCATGCCCCCCTCCATGCCACGGAATCCCCACCCCTTGGAGCCTCTGTTTTTGGGACCCCCCACCTAACTCGACCAACGCCCCCCTCCATGCCCCCCCTCCATGCCCGGCATCCCACCCCTTGGAGGTCTATTTTTTGGGGCCCCCACCCCCCACGAAATTCGCCGACAAATCGACCCAACACCCCCCCTCCATGCCCCCCTCCATGCCCGGCAATCCCCATCCCATGGAGCCTCTTGATTTGGGAACCCCCCCAGCCCCGAATTCTCGCCCAGAACTCGAACCACACCCCCCTCCAATGCCCCCCATGCCCCCGCATCCCCTCCCTTGAACCCTCTGTCTTGTTTGGGGCCCCCACTCCGCGCATTCCTCGCCCAAACTCGACCAACGCCCCCCCGCGTGCCCCTCTCCAATGCACCGGCCCCCCACCCCTTTGGAGCCTCTGTTTTTTGACCCCCCCCCCTTCGCTAATTCTCCCCAAACTCGACCAACACCCCCCCCCATGTCCCCCTCTATGCCCAGGCATCCCCACCCCTTGGAGCCTCTGTTTTTGGAACCCCACACCCCACGAATTCTCGCCCAAACTCGACCAACACCCTCCTCCATGCCCCCTTCCATGCCCGGCATCCCCACCCCTTGGGCCATCTGTTTTTTTTGGGGCCCCCCACCCCACGAATTCTCGCACAAAACTCGACCAACACCCCCCTCCAGGCCCCCACCCTCCATGCCCCGGCATCCCCCACCCCTTGGGGGCTCTATTTTTGGGGCCCCCCCCACCCCGAATTCTCGCCCAAACTCGACCAACACCCCCTCCCCCTTTTTCCCCATGTCCTCCCCTCCCCTGCACCCGTCTCCTCCCCCCCCTTGGAGCTCTGTTTTGGGGGGGCCCCCCCCCGCGAATTTCTCCCCAAACTCGACCAACACCCCCCTCCATGCTCCTCTCCATGCCCCGGCATCCCCTTCCCTTGGAGCCGTTGTTTTTGGGCCCCCCACCCCACGAATTCTCGCCCAAACTCAACCAAAACCCCTCCATGCCCCCCTCCATGCCCCGGCATCTCCATCCCTTGGAGCCCCTGTCTTTGGGACCCCCCATTTCACGAATTCTCGCCCAAACTCGACCAACACCCCCCTCCAGGCCCCCCTCCATGCCCAGGCATCCCCACCCCTTGGAGGCTCTATTTTTCGGACCCCCCACCCCATGCATTCTCGCCCAAACTCGACCAACACCCCCCTCCATGTCCCCCTCCA